CCCCAAGAGATGGACTGAAATGGAAAAAGGAAAAATAACTGATCAAATTCATTTAGAAGTTAGTAGCAGGAATGTATAGATCAACACAGACACTTACTTGTTCAGTAAACCCTTCAATTTCTTTCTCAGTTGCTCATTTCCCTGACTACCAGCCATCATTGCTCTCTTCGCTGGTGGGACGTCTGTGCCAATGTGACCAGGTTTGACAATGTTTCCTTGCTTATCCCGCAGTCTTCCGTAGATGTCCTCCTTGAGCTCAGAATCATCTTCTTCATTTTCACCCCTCTTTCTCTTTAAAGATTTACTTTCCACATCCTCCACATCGCCTTCATGTTCCTCGGCCATGTCATCATCATCATCATCACCCAATTCTTCTTCTTCCTCCTCCTCCATCTCCGCTTCTTCATCATCATCATCACCCAATTCTTCTTCTTCCTCCTCCTCCATCTCCGCTTCTTCATCATCACTAACGTCTTCTCCTCCACCACCAAATTCAGTATCTGTAAAATTGTCTTCAAAAGGGTCACTTTCATCTGTATCAGGTTCATTAACATTGAACTTCACAGACTTTTCATTTTTCTTTTGATCCTTCTTCACTTTGAGGATGGACTTTTCTGCCTTCGCAGTAGGATCCCACCCAGGGCCTGGCCCTGCTTCTGAAATATTCAAGGGAATACAGTGGTCAGTGACTTGGCAAAACTGAACAAAGTAGGTTGGCATCACTATAAAAAAAATTGTTTCTGATCTCATTTTTGCCATTTTGACATAAATGGAAAATACTGTTTAACTAGACTATATACCATCTGATCTAATTTATAATGGTAAAACTCGCCTTGCATGTTTCTTTTGTGACTGCTAGCCCATTTTTGTTTTGGTGTTACAAAAAGATAGATATAGTACCATTGAATAAAATAAAAGGCTAGTTGCAGTTTCGCACAACTTTTAAGTTGTTATGCCATTTGCTAGCGCAGTGACAACATTCTCTTTTCTGACTAAAGCAAAGTACCCTCTACAAAGACATAGAAGTGTTGTTCCTCAAAATTGAAAAATGAGGCAAGGAACTGAACTTTAACATTTGAGCGTGTAATATCACATAGACAGAAAACCAAATTACTTTTTTAGATGAAATCATAGTGGAAAGAAAAAAAGACATCTGAACAAAACACAAAAACTAAACAAAACAAAACCGCCCACTCTCTCCTAATATTCCAGTGACTTAATTTTCTTTTTGAACACTCACCGGACTGATCCTCCTCATCAGAGTTGTACTCCTCAGACTCTGAAGGAGACTCTGTGTCTGATGCTCCAAGACCCTCAATTCCTGGGACTGCATCTTCAAATGTCTTGATCTTATCAGAGTCGGTGGCATCCAAAATGTCTTAATTAGTTAAAGAAACCAGGCTAAGTATGACAAAAAGGAAGAATGCATTCACACGTTATTTATGCAATGTAAGAATGACGAAAAGCATGAATATTTGTAACCTGAAAAGTTGTTATGTCTGAACTTTTTTCAAGAGAGAAAACATTTTCATGGAAATAGGAGGAAGGGGGACAAACAAAGAAAATTAATCATCTGCAATATTTTTAGTTCAAATACAAAAGAATTTAAAAAAGAGAATTTTCAGTTCTTACTCAGTACATATTCAATATCTCCTCCCATCCTCCTTCCCAAGACATCACACAATAGAGAGCAATATGAGAAACGAAAAATAATTAAGATATCTGCAGAACAAACACGATTCAGAAAAAGATACAGACTAGTCCATCGTTGACAAAGGATGAAGGCAAGCTAGTTTTGTCCTTCTTTTTCCAAAAATTGAGATTCTTTTCCAGCTGTTTCAGCTCTTTCTCATCACGCTGAATAGCAAGTCTGAGTCCTTGAACTCGAGAACTCTCCACCTACAATGAAATTGGATAAATCTCAGTAAAAAAAGTTTGTTAAACACCAAGATTTAATATAAAAACAAAACAAGGCAAATTATATATACACATACGCACACAGTCGTACCTGTGTAAAATGGCCACCCACTGTCAAGGAAAAAAGTGGCCGTTTAAGACAGGACAGACGAAAATGAAGAAAAAAAATAATTTGCTTTGAGTCCCCAACTGGAAGTGGATACAGGCTCAAAGCTAATTAAAATATAATTGTTTTTTTAGGAGAAGCGGGGTTAAAGAGAAGGGGGTTGTTGTTTTTTTAAATATTACCTTCTGAGCTCCCACCTGGAGGAGTTAGTTGCAGGCTCGAGACAAGGGTTACATACATTTTTACATCGATGCCATCATCAACAGCTGGATTTATCTGAATGTGTGAAACATTTTTGTTTGCGCACAGAGAAAGTCTGAGACAGCAATCATTTACTATTTATTAAACTTTGTTTTTATTCACTACAGTACCCATTACTTCAAATAAACAGTACCAGTTGGTGTATAATTAATGAATTAAGGTATACCAAAAAGAGGTAATGAGTGTAATGATGAAAAGAACAGTCTGCAGCAGTTGAAAGCCAGAAATGCATTAGTATTTAGGTTTGAAAGTTGAGGCCGATTCAGGCTGTAATATTCACACTGAGTTTTGTTTTTTAAAAGGGTCAACTATTTAGGGGTTTATCATGCGAATGGGAAGTAGGGGTTCATCATACTGGCTGAATTTATATGGTTTATCATTCTGTCCGTTTATTCTAGGTAAGAGTTTGGATTTGGGTTATATGTCGTCGCCGCTCAATCCAAAATCCCATGGGACAGAGAAAACTTTGTAATAACAGATAAGGCTTCTTTAGATGGGGTATGGTGTTTGCTTTGTCTCTTCCTCGTGAAATTTTTGGGAAAATGTATCAACATTTCTTCACTAGAATATAATCTAGATCTATCACATGAACTCTGAAGTCAGAAACCTGCTTCTCATAAAAATATAATTTGTTGATCTACCATCTAGATCTAGAAATCTAGATCTAGTGTAGATGCTATTTTAGTATTGGCCACCTCTATTCTCACCCCGGGTGAGAATAGCGCAGGCGAGTCTTTTGGCTATTCTCACCCGGTGGGTGGGCGTTCACCGTTATAGCCTAGGCCAACCAGTGAAAGCGTTCACCCTGAACCACAGAATTCTACACTGTGATAACAGAATTATAGAATTCTGTGCTGTGAACAAACGTTCTAGACTAGATCTATTACTACTGTTAGTGTTAGCCTAAAAGCGTGCAATTTTGTCAGTAGGCAGTGGAGAGAGAGAAAGAGAGAGAAATAGTGCGAGAACAAAATGGCGACCCGCGTAGTTCGGCTCGATTCGGAAAGTTAAATAGCCGTAGCATCTTT